TTGGAATTCAGCTTTAATTTGTTAGTCAAGTCCATCTAAATTTGTTAGTCCATCTAATGGTAGCCATACACTCTTCAATAAATGATCAGTTTATTTTCTGATCAATCTCTGCCAATAGGACTAATTAATCTATACTTGACAATTAATAGATATTTCAAATACAGGGAAGTGGATTCCAATAGATAGCATATGATCATAAGGTATTGATCGCATTTCTATATTCACCATGCAATAATCTGATCGATCCCAATTCATAATCAAATAATCTCAGTATTGCCAACCGATGCCACGCAGTCAATAATTTCTCTTTCCTGGACAATCAAATCCATTTGATCCAGTCGGATATAAAACTAGTATAAATTGAGAGGGAAGTTATGACTTTTCGATTGTTAGCCAATTCAATCATTTTAAAGGGGAACTTTAGACATAAAATTAGGTCCTACTAGATCACTTCAGATTGGCCCTTTTTGCAGGTATAGCTATGTAAAAGATTAAAAATAAGCATCTATACTGTTTAAAATCCAGTAATACAATGTCTCACCCTGCTCTGCACATGCTCACTTGCTCTCTATTTTTAGGCACAGTGCTGAATTTGTAGAGTCCGATCTGCTGACAGACTAAAGATTTACTGCTGCTCAGGGGCTTTGGGCTTCAGCAAAATGGCAGCCTCCAGCAAGAAGAAACAAGAGCAATGCTGGAGACAATTTACAGCACACACTAATTTTGGTATCAGAAATATTCATTTGTTTGTTTCTTTCTAAAGAACATTATTTTCATCAAGTTTTTATGGGTAATTTTCCATCTTAATCCAACTGCACATTAATCAGGTAAAAAAAAATCCAAGCATGTATGGCCATCTATTCCAATCCCCCCCCCCCCTCCCCCCCAGATTGAGAAAGCTACTGTCCAATGGTGGCATGTTGATCCTCCATCCAAAGTGGAGACTCCCTAATGCAAGCCATACGTGGGTCAAATTCTGAACAAATTTTCTTTAAAAATTGGAAATTTCATGCATTTTGTAATCCAATGTTGCCACCATTGATTTCAAAATACGACCGACCAATCAAGCCTTTAATTTCACCTCATGTTGCTACAGAAAAGAATTTTTGTGGCAAAGAATTTCCTTTTCTTTCCAGGTCACAGCTCATGCTCATTTCTCTTTGGGCTCATTCACACTTGACTGTTTTTCCAACTCTTGCCAAATGCCCCTATAGCGTTTGACAAGCATTGGTCCGGCGTTTGCGGAGTGTTTTTAAGGCTGCGCAAATGCCGCATGCATGGTTTAGCGGCGGTTGCTAGGCATTTGACAAATGCTAAAAACGCCCCACAAACAGCTATAATGAATGGTGTTAACGCTCCGCAAACGTGTTGCAACTGCGTCGCAACCGCACCATAGACTTGAATAGGAGGCTTCAACTCCTCCTGACTCGACCAGAGGCGTCCATTTTGCCGCAACACGAAGCTAACACTCCCGTTTGAACAGCACCATGTGCTGCAATGTGCAGAATTTTTACAGGCGTTTCGGAAACAGTAAAAAAGCTTCTCAATTGCCTGTCTGCCGCTTGCTAACAAGGCTAGTGTGAACATAGCCTTTCGATTCCATTAATCGCACAAATCTCACATCATTGATTAGAAATTTGTTAATTTTTCAAAAAATTTCCAACATGCACGATCACTCAAATTCGATTGGTCGCTCAAAAATTGTCCGTTGCTGTGGCCCACTAATGGTGCAAAATTCGAAGGAAAATTCTTAGGAAAGATTTTTGGAAGAAAATTCTTTTGGAATGCGACCCATGTATAGCTGGCTTAAAACTGGATCACTCAGAATCATAACCAATTATCTTCTGACTTCAGCTGGTTCAATTGCTTTGTCAATAAAACCTGGAAGTTGATTGGTTTCTATGCAGAGCTGCACCAGATTCTGCACCACGCAATTTTAATAAATGACCCCCATAGTGTGTAACTGGCCAGATCACCATGTGGAAGTAAAGGGGGGGAAAAGGCTTAAAAAACTAAAGCAGCCACCACATAAAAGGATTTGAAAGATGCAATGTATTACATTTTTGTGTTTGAGTTTAATAGATCTTTAAAACTATTCAGCCCTATGGAGCTAATGAGTCCATTTAAACGAGTTTGTTTTCTAATGTCACATCGGAAATTAACTGCATAAAAAGAATCGTCTCTGCTATGCTTTATTAATAGCTATCAAACTTGCACCAGTTTTCAGTTTTTGCGTCAAAACGTACCCGTTGCGTCAAAAGTTCTATTTTACCACCAGCTGCTCAAGCTCATCTTGAACAGAGCAGCAGAAGTGTGTATTTACTAATATTTTCTTCAAATGTGCAAGCTGCAAAGAATAATGATTGTAACAAGTGCAATGACTTTCATACATCGCTGGAGTTAAATGGCTTTTTTGGGGGGAGTTTGGGCTTTGCAGTAGTAAGTGGATGCTAAGTTTTCTTCAGTTCTAAAATTCTCTCTGGATCTTCCCAGAGTACAAAGGAGAGACAAAAAAAAAAATCTTTAATCTGGGGATAAAACTGATTCATGATGTTTTATATACTTGTCCTCAAAGGGGATTAGAGCCTAAATTGGACCCTTTAATAGTTCTGCGGGGGCTGGGGGGCGCCCAGGTAAATATTTGTATTCAATCATGGCTATTGATCTCTTCCTTTCCAAATAGAGAGGGCTCAGAGCTGGAGAAATGAAGAAGGAAATGGGCAGGCGGCAAGAACTGGAAATGGATCGATAAGATAAATGTAATATAAAACAAAATGAGAAAATAAAAAAAAAATCTCAAATAGCAATTCTGTAACTGCCTTCTTGCAGATTTTAGAAACGTTTTTCTAAACTGACATTACTATTCCATCGATCCTATCCCTAAACCATCGGGGTGTCATGCACCTGACACACAAAAAATAGGAAAACGTTAGAGCCCAAGCGTTAACATAACGCAACCGCCGTTTGATGAAACGGATGGCAAGCGGTTTTGCTGAATGCTGATAATAAATAGAAAATTATTCCTCTTTTTAAAAAAAAAGAAAAAGGGCGTCATAAAAATTACGAACAAACTTATAAAAAGAAAAGAGATCCGACCAGGATTAAAATCTGGTTACATTTATATAGCTTTTTTTTTTTGCTTTTTTTTTTTTAATAATGTGCTTTTTATTTTTCTAGGGCATCATTATTGTTCCTTTTGATAAAACTTAATAAACAGAAAAAGCACAGCGAATACTGGTTTTATTTGCTTGCAAGTGATAAAAAAAGACCATGAGCCTTTTTTGCAAGCAATAGATTTTATATTGTTTTTTAGGACATTATAATCTTTTTGGATTATCAAATACAAAATGGTTCAGTACTAATCCTAATGCCGAATGGATGCCATTTATATTTATCTATGTGTTGAATTAATACGTTTCTGTTCTAACATATTATTAATGTTATTATTATTATTATTTTATTTTTATTATTATTTATTAGTTGTAGTAGTTTTTATTATATACTGGTTTTATACAGCATATTTTTTGCAATATTTTATGGAAAAATAATATACACTAACCTAAAATTCCTCTTAATATATAAATAAACGTGTGCTTTCTCAATGTTTTATCATATATAAGCAGTCACTTACACGGTTATTAAAACTCTCATCAATGATCTATGTCATCCTGTAATTTCATCTTGATATTACTCATAATACTGCAACTAGATAACTCACAGATCTAAAACCGACAATCTGTAAATAAAATTCTATCTATGTAATAAATAAATACAAATACCTGAATTCATGTATCACCCCCTGATCTGAAAAGCTCAAACTGTAATTTTTCTAAAATACTTATTCTACAGTACAAACACTTCATAACAAAACGCTGCAAACGCTCCAAACGTTCTATGATGAAAAGCAGAAGAAGACCGTAAAAACAAACATACTAGAGGTGATGATGGCAGTATTACAAATTTTACTTCCAAACAATGAAATAATATATTAACTGACATTTTTTTGGAGACAATAAAAAATAAAAATCAAAGTGCTCATTCATTTCCGCTGGGCTCTTGTAGGATACCCTTGGAAACCGTTGAAAAGCTGTTGCATGCAAGTTTTTAATTTAGACAACAAAAAAAGGAAGATACTGTATAAATTTTGTATTAACATCAACAGTACATACAACACTTACAAACAAGGAATGTTGGACACTTCCAAACAATGCTGTGTCCTGTGTCTTGGTATTTCTGTAATACTTGTGCCTACATATTTTACAATTGAGAAAATGTTTTTATTTTTTGACGCTCGAATAACTACCAATCTTTATAAAATCTAGCAGACTACATAGTGTCTGTATACTATTTATATAATATAGACATCACTGAAGAAGCAATTGCCTATAAAGGTTTTTTTTCCGATCTAGTACTGTATAAACATGCTTTTATGCAATATTTTTTTTTATTCATATTTATAATTTTTTTTTGCAAACACAGCTTGTAGAATCGGTTTAATATTTATTCATAAATAGGCACAAAATGATTAAAAATAGCTAAATTGTATTTTATACATGTACAAGCCTTTTTTTTTAACGTTTGTATCCTTCATGCCATCCACTGAACTGTTTTTCTTTTTTTCACAATATATTACAGTTTTTCTTTTAACAACAAAAATAAAAAATAAAATAATAAAAAAAAATCATATATTGTAAGTCTTTAGAGAGGGGCAATGCGATTGGTCACCTTAATACTTTTGACTGAGGTCATTCTTTGATGCACTTAGCAAGAAATTAAGAGATGTGTAGGAATGATGTCACGTGATGAGGACAGCAGGTTGAGTCCGTTTTTCTTTTGTGGATCCTGCAGTGCTAGCTGCTTGACACCGGCACATGTACCATAAGTTCACTGTTGGCAATTTGGCACCCAAACTGCATATATATATTTTTTTTTCACAGGTAGAGTCCCTTTAGTCTGAAGTTATTTGTAGAGTCCATTGAAATGTCTTTTTTTTGTTTGTTTTAAAAAGGTAGAGTGTCCAAGAAAAGTTTGTCAATGATAGCCGGGGGTGGTACCAAGTCCTCTAGTTTTAGGTAGAAAATGCGTTGGAGACCCTGTGTGCAAAGTGTGCGGAGCTCAGGCAATTTCCCCAAAAGTTTGGAAAGGTAGTTGGGGCGGTTCAAGCCCCCATTGTTAAAAGTCACGTGGTCCTTGAGGCAGTTGATGATTTTGTTCTGGAGTTCCTCCACCCTTTTGGGTTCCTTAAGCCCGTGTCTCTCTGAAGAAGCAAAAGCACAAAAAAATAAAAAATTAAAAAATGTCGCAAATTAATCCATTCTGCGCAGAATGTGTCTCAAGAACATGAAGCCCTGGAAAGAAGCAGACTAAAATATTTGCAAAAAAAATGCTTACCTGTCACCATGGCCAAAGCAGCAATACAGGAAAAGGCTGAAATGTCAATGTTCATGCTCTGTAAATTGGAGGAGAATTCGACAATGGCGTCGATCCATTCGCCAAAGCCACGGACGCATTGTAACCTGTGCAGCACTGCCCCATTACAGAAGATGAGTTTGCCCTCAGCTGGGTTAGATCTGGAGTTAATTAAAAAAAAAATCAGAAAAAAAAGACAAAAACTAATTAGTATCAGAATAATAAATGGGCGATTAAAAGGCTCCTAATTACCACAGAGCCAATAAAATGCAAATCAATTGACCTTGAAAAGAGGGTTGCTTATATAACAATTAAAACCTAATTCGGTAATTACCTGTATGCTAACCGCAGGACGAAGAGTTCCAGGAAAGCCGACTCAAAGAGAAGGTCCTGGTCCTGCTTGTGGAGCTCAGAGAAGCCTGGGATCTTCTCAGCCCATCCTCTGATGATCTCCATAGAACCGGTCAGCAAATCATAAAACTGTTGTATATGTTGAGTGTCATCTCCATTCAACTGGAAGTCTGGATTAGCTTGAAACTGAAAAAAAAAACAAAAACAACAACACAAAGGATAAAAATTAATGAGCTTCCCCATTACATAAGGCGTAATTGCCAAAGTAAAGAACAATTCAGATCTGTGACCACCAAGGGACAAGAGGCCAACGCTGCTAATTTAACCATGGATGGTGACAAGACGTGTGACCTGTGTCTGGGAGCCCCTGTAGAGATGTGCAGAATGTCGGAAAACATGTGCAATCAATTACAGGAACTGAACAAGGCCATTGACCAACGGTACGGCAGCACTATAAGCCTTCATCAGCCTAGTTTCTGCTTGGAAGAGTGGCCATACAAGCTTTGATTTTATCAAATTGGCATGCAATTCCATTAAAGTGATCAAACATTCCAACAGCTATAACTTCCCTTTCAATCCATCGAATAAGATCTAACTGAGACGAACAGAAAATGAACAATTGTGTCATACTGATCGACAGCACCCAGATGCATTGGTCAAGAATTTGATTGTATTATTCAATCAATCAAAATATTGCATAATGCAAACAGAGATGCAGTTGGTAACATGCAATCCAACTATGGATCAAAATCCACTCACCTTGTGTGTGGCATAATAGTCGATTTGATTGTCGACTGTAGAAGATTTATTCTATTGAGGTAGATCCATCGGAAAGAAGTTGATCATTTATGATGCCACCATTAAATGATCAATTGGGTTGTCGACTATAGATTGATTATTCCTATTGAATAAAATCGATCTGTAGAGAAATTGGTCATTTATGGAAACATGTATGGCCACCAATAAATGATCAATTGGGTTGTTGACCATAGATCAATTATTCCTATTGAGGGAGGTCGATCAGGAAAGAAATTGGTCATTTATGGAAGCATGTATGGCCACCATTAAATGATCAATTGGGTTGTCGACTACAAATTGATTATTCCTTTTGGGGAATATCATTCAAATAAATTTATAATTTATGGAAGCATGTAAGGCCACCATGAAATGATCATTTGGGTTGTTGACTATAGATCGATTGTTCCTATTGAGGGAGATCTGTCAGAAAATAAATTGGTCATTTATGGAAGCACGTATGGCCACCATTAAATGATCAATTGGGTTGCCAACTATAGATTGAATATTCCTATTAGGGAAGATCATTCAAAACAGAAATTGGTCATTTATGGAAGCATGTATGGCCGCCATTAAATTATTTATTGGGTTGTTGACTATAGAATGATTATTCCTATTGGATAAGGTCGATCTAAAGAAAAGTTGGTAATTTATGGAAGCATGTATGGCCACCATTAAATGATCAATTGGGTTGTCGACTATAGATTGAATATTCCTATTGGGGAAGATCATTCAGAAAAAAAATTGGTCATGTATGGAAGCATGTATGGCCACCATTTAATGATCAATTGGGTTGTCGACTATAGATTGAATATTCCTATTGGGGAAGATCATTCAGAAAATAAATTGGTAATTTATGGAAGCATGTATCGCCACCATTTAATGATCGATTGGGTTGTTGACTATAGATTGATTATTCCTATTGAACAAGGTTGATCTGAAGAGAAATTGGTCATTTATGGAAGCATGTATGTATGGCCACCATTAAATGATCAATGGGGTTGTCAACTATTGATTATTCCTATTGTGGAAGATCAATCAGAAAATTAGTCATTTATGGAAGCATAACCACTATTAGTGTTTACAGACATTGAGTCCAAAAAAGCTTGATGGCATAGAGAATGGTTGAGGTCCTAGTCCAATTTTCACTTTATCTATTTATCTATCTATGGGTATATACATATCGATAAATGGCTATGCTTTTGGCAATGCTAAAAATGTATTTGATTCTGCCAATAAAGCTTATTTGAATTAGATAGATAGATAGATAGATAGATAGATAGATAGATAGATAGATAGATAGATAGATAGAAAGAGGGAGGATAGGTAGAGGGATGGATAGACAGAGGGATGGATAGACAGAGGGATGGATAGATAGAGAGAGGGATAGATGATAGATAGATAGATAGATAGATAGATAGATAGATAGATAGATAGATAGATGGATAGACAGAGGGATGGATAGATAGATGGATAGACAGATAGATGGAGATAGATAGATAGATAGACAGATAGAGGGATGGACAGATAGAGGGATGGATCGATATAGAAATCGATCCCTATCACCACACATCTGTAGGAGTATCTCCAGTTCATAACGAACAAATAAAACTTCATGAGAACATGGAGAATGACAAGCCACCAGAGAAAATTTAGCTCAGATTGTGGTTCAAATGTTGAGTCTGTCTATAAATTCCTGCAGCCAGGAGAACACTTTTCTTCCCAATATATGTGGATATTACCGCATAGAAGTCATGGCTCTCAATCACAGGAAGCACAAGAGCAGCAATCAATTTTCGGGCTGAGCTACCTCTGTAGATTCCATTTTCATCCTACAAAAGTGTCTGATATTTTACAAACTAAAACCTGAACGTCCTGTAAAAAGTGTATTGTCAAAATGAAATAAAAGGTACTATGGTCATTAACTACATGAGGTCCCTGCTGACTGAAGCATAGTACGACTTCTGACGTTTGTCTATAAATCGCTGCGACTTTTTAGTCGCTGCGTGTCCTGCAGACCTCACAGGGGACAAACATCTGAAAAGACCAATATGCTTGCAGTAGTTAAGGTGAAGGCGGTTGTATACGATCACGGCCAGACATATGGTGAGAGTATAAAGTCAGACGTGGTGTCACCAAGTGTAATAAAGCAGCGGAGGCCTCTACTTAACGTCCCGTGGTCACTTTAGGGGGTGCAGACAGAGGGGTGAGATGTAAGGGTTCCCTATAAAGGCTGCCATGTACAGCCCACTTACCCTGGAATAGTCCAGGCTGCTGACTGCCGGATTGGAATCGACGTGGGCTCTCACTAGGGCACTGATCAAACTCACCGGGGGGCTGGGGGGCGACGGCTCCTGAGGGCTCTTGGGCTTGGATGGCAAGCGACCCCTCCGACCTTTCAAACTGTCTGTGCGGACCACTGCCAGAGAAGAGAGGAGAGTGTGATGGAAGGGCTCAGGAGTCGGTCGGTGCCCACTCACATTCCTTGGCACGCCGTGCCCTCTGCCTCATCACAAAGGCACCCTTCACAACAATACAACTGGAGCTCAGGACCGAAATCTGGCCGATGCCATCCCTGCTGCCCACACACGAGAAATATTCTTCTACTGCAAAACAATCAGAGCTTTCCCCAACCCCACCACCGATCAGGAGGTCATTCCATCCAATGTATGTGTGTGATCTCATCGGTACAAGTGCCTAATAGACCCATCTATTATTTATCTGTACAAAACTGGCTGTCTATCTATCTATCTATCTATCTATCTATCTATTTATCTATCTATCTATCTATCTATCTATCTGTTTATCTATCTGTCTGTATGTATCTAAGTAAAAGTATTTGTCCCTCTGTCTGTCTGTTTATCTATCTATCTATCTATCTATCTATCTATCTATCTATCTATCTATCTATCTTTCTATCTATCTATCTATCTATCTATCTATCTATCTATCTATCTATCTATCTATCTATCCACCCATCTATCTATCCATCTATCTATCCGTCTGTCTGTCTGTCTGTATGTATCTAAGTAAAAGTATTTGTCCCTCTGTCTGTTTATCATCTATCTATCTATCTATCTATCTATCTATCTATCTATCTATCTATCTATCTATCTATCTATCTATCTATCTATCTATCTGTCTGTCTGTCTTTGTCTGTCTCTATGTATGTATGTAACTATGTAAGCAAAAGTATTTGTCCTGTCTGTCTGTCTGTCTGTCTGTCTGTCTATCTACATATCTTCATGTATGTATCTATCTACCTGCCTATCTATGTTCCTATCTGTCGATCTACCTAACCATCTAAGTAAAAAGATTTGTCATTCTGTCTGCCAGTTTGTCTTTCTTTCTTTCTTTTTCTTTTTCTTTCTTTCTTTCTTTCTTTCTTTCTTTTCTTTCTTTCTTTCTTTCTTTCTTTCTTTCTTTCTTTTCTTTCTTTCTTTCTTTCCAAAAATATGCATGTGTATATGTATGCATTTATATTATAAATATATAATATTATATATAATACAGTCCTTGTGTTTGTCTATCTGTATAAAAAGTATTAATCTATCTTCCTATCATTTTAAGTAAAAGTATCTTTCTACCTATGTAAAAATATCTATCTATCTATCTATCTATCTATCTATCTATCTATCTATCTATCTATCTATCTATCTATCTATGCGAATATGCATTTTTATTTATAGCATATATTTTTTAAATTGATTTATTTAAAGTGTGTATCTCTATCTATCTATCTATCTATCTATCTATCTATCTATCTATCTATCTATCTATCTATTCTGTGCACACATAATTTGCACTACTATAAGCAAAGTCCTGTGTTAAACCCATCCAAATAAATGCCCCATACAAGCACAGTTACAAAGTAGCAGAAATTGCATACAAAGTTTAATACATGAATCTGCATTCATTCAAAGTCATGGCGCCCACATAGACCGGTGCGGGCACTGTACGGATTGAATGATGTACCTTCTTTGACCATGCCAACAACTAGGCACTTCTGGAAGCGGCAATACTGACATCTATTCCTCCGCCTTTTGTCCACCGGGCAGTTTTTATTGGCTAAACAAACATATTTGGCATTTTTCTGGACAGTGCGCTGGAAAAAAAAGAGAAAGAAGAATGTGCGATGAGTTCACCGGCTTCATCGTCATCACCAGAAATCGGGGTCATTCGCGTGATTGCCGGGGTCCCTGTTCTGTGGGGGGTCGGTGTGTGCACACGGGGCATTTACCAGGCAGAAAAGTGCGCTGGCGTCCTGGCAGCTCTTGGCTGCGTCTCTTATGCCAAGCAAGACAGGGAGCAGACGATCAGTAAATACAATTCCGTGAGCATTCATATTATTTACATCCCTCAGAGAGGGCTCTATTTCAAATGATAAAGATTATTCAATCAGGACGCTGGAATAAAGAGATCACTTAATTTCACCATAGGGAATTCTGTTCCACTTGGTTAGTTCAGACACGGTTCTCTGTCCTAAGCAATTTAAATCTGAAAAGGGGGATGGCTGCTGGGAGCACATGCAAAACAGATCTGTGTTCACCCAAACACAAGCAGAGCAAAAAAAAAATGCAGCAAGATCTGCTGGAAGGGGTTCAGGCACGATTTAATTGTTCCCAATATATGTCATCACTGGCTTGTCTTTTCAGGATTATTAAAGTGTTAAGGCTTTGCTTCCACATCTTGCATCTATTATTAATTTCTTAGGGACAAAAATGGGACCAATTAAAATGACACTCATTGCCCTCATTATACTCAGCACTGAAAAAAATTGTCCTGCGCTTGTAATCATTTAGAAGATGAATTATTATTATTATTGTATTTTATTAGTAGTATTATAGCTTATTGACGACAAGATGTTTCCTATCACTGATTACTATAAACTCAAAGCTTTGATCAAGTGATATAAAAATACATGAAATTCCATCTAAAGGCATTAGTATAAAAAGTCGAGTACAAGGTTTACATTGTTTATTGTTTAGCAGGTGCTGGTGATAAAATACATTGGCAATTATTGTGTCACCATTATAAAGTCATCTAGTAACAGGAAAAATATATATAAACAGTTTTAAATCTCTTTGTTATTATGTATCATTATGTTGCTGACATTGTAACAATGTATCTAAAGGCATTTGCATTGGAATGTGTTGTTGGGGATATAGCTGTTCATGTGACAAGGCTTTCATGGCATTTGTCTTCCATGAATAAATATGACAGGGAGTGTGAAGGTTTTGGAATAAGCCTCATTAGGATGTGCTGCTGAGAGCAGTGTAACAAAGTATCGGTTTTATAGGTGGTCTTATGGGGGATGCTAAGTACACTTTCTGCAGCCATGGATCAGATGTTTTGGGATGCTATGTTATAAACGATGTTACATATACTGAACTTTTTAACGTATCGATGTTCTATAGAGAGCAGATTATCTATTAACAATGTATCAACATTCCGAAGTTAGGTGTTTCAGAATGAACTGTTGTGAATGGTAATGCATCAACTTCTGTATATCAATGTATCAAATGGCTTGCCTTAAACTGTACTATTAGCTGTTCCATAAACTTTAGCATTGTATCAATAGTTAACAATGTATCAATACTCTATTAACAGCTGTTGCAGAGTGATCTGCTATAGGTAGAGTTGCTTACATGTATAGTTAATAATGTAAGAACATTAAATCGAATCGATTTAAATTGTACTCTTGTTTGCTTTGCCTTTCCTTTTCACAATCTATCATCTTTACCAAGGTGGTTTATTTAGAATATCAGATCAAATTCACAATGTATCATCTTTACCAATGTAGCTTATTTAAAATATCAGATCAAATTCACAATGTATCAGCTTTACCAAGGTAGCTTATTTAGAATATCAGAAAAAAATCACAATGTATGAGCTTTACCAAGTTGGCTTATTTAGAATATCAGAAAAAAAATCACAATGTATCAGCTTTACCAAGGTGGTTATTATAGAATATCAGATCAAATTCACAATGTATCAGCTTTACTAAAGTGGCTTATTTAGAATATCAGATCAAAGTCACAATGTATCAACGTCCTTTAGGCAGAGTAGATTCCTATGGATCATGCTATATACTGCTAATAATGTATCAACGTATGTATGTAATATATCTAAGTATGAAGGGAATTTCTTTACATTGTGCTGCTGTTTTACTGTTCCTGATAACAATGTATCACCTTTACAAAGGTGGTTCGTTAAGAATGTCGTATCAAGTTTGTATCAACCTTCTATAGGCAGAGGGAGTTTTTGTAGATAAAGCTATTTATTGCTAATAATCTGTTAACGGATGTCATGTATCTTAATATCATAGGAGTTTCTTTACATTGTGCTGCTGTTGTATTGTTTCTGGTAACAATGTATCAATCTTACAAAGGTAGTTTATATAGCCTATCATGTGAAGTTCATAATGTGTCAACGTTCTATAACAATTGTGGATCATGCTATTGTTAATAATCTATCAAGGTCCGTATGTAGTTTCTTTACATTTATTGTTCCTGATAACAATGTATCAATCTTGCAAATGTAGTTTATATAGACTACCATATCAAGTTCATAATGTTTTAACATTCTATAGGCAGAGTGGGTTCCTGTGGCTAAAGCTACTGTTAATAAATAATCTATAAAGGTGTGAATGTAATGTATCCAAGTGTCAATTGAGTTTATTTACATTGTGCTGATGTTTTACTGCTCCTGATAACAATGTATCAATCTTGCCAATGTAGTTTACATAGACTATCGTGTCAAGTTCACACGGTTTATAGCAAGAGTGGATTTTTATGGTTCTTGCTACTGTTAATAATCTATCAAGGTGAGAATGAAATGTATCCAAGTATCAAGGGAGGTCTTTTTTACATTGTGCTACTGTTTCCTTGTTCCTGATAACAATGTATCAATCTTACAAATGTAGTTTATGTAGACTGTCATGTCAAGTTCATAATGCACTGACGTTCTATAGGCAGAGTGCATTCGTATGGGTCGTGCTATTGTTAATGATCTATCAATATTTGTATGTAATGTATCCAAGTATCAAGGGAGTTTCTTTACATTATGCTAAATAGTTCCTGGTAACAATGTATCAATGTGCTAATGTGTTGATATGGCTAATGATACACCTCCTACTCTGTAAGCATTTCCCATGGAATGTTCACTGATATATGACAAGGCTTGTGACCTGAAATGGTGTCATGTAAAGCCTTCTACTCACCTTGAAGAACCCTTTGCACCCTTCACACGTGCGAACTCCATAGTGTTGGCAAGCAGCATTGTCTCCACACACAGCACAGAGCCCCTCGTTAGATGGGGACCCCCTGGAAGGGGGTGAAGGGACCTGGCTATCTATGAGCTGGGAGGCATGGCCAAGCTGAAGTCCAGGGAAGCCCATGGCCGCCTGTTTCCTGATGGGGTTAGGAACTGCAAAAGTCTGTCCATCCACCACATGGTGGACACCAGAGGTCTCGGCGTTCATGGAGATGTGGTGGCCATCAAACCTCATTTGACAACTAGACACCGGGGTCCCAGGAGGGGACTGCTTGAAAGAGAACAAGGACAGTCTGGAGACAGGACCTTTCCTCTGGTCTAACATGTGGCTGGTGGCCACATAGTTCTGGTGGAAGCTGTGAAGGCTCCCAGGATCATCCCACATTGGACTGTGCTGGACTGGGAAGCCTGGGGTGTTGGAGGTTGGGGGTGAAGAAGGCTTGTAGTAGACTGAGCCTGAATGTGCCATCATCTCCTCTGATTGGGGGGCCAGGTGGCTGTGCTGTTGGTAGCCGTGCATCTGAATATCTTCCACTTTTATGGAGGACTGCTGCCCAGGAACTGGCATTTGGTACAAGCAAGGTGGCTTGACGTCGTAGCTGGAGTTGTAGTTATCCATAAAGGTACTAAAGCTGGGGAGAGAAGTGGTGGCAGTGATTTCAGTGTTGGTCAGGTCCATGCTAAACTTGACAAACTCTGGAGTTAAGAAATCGGAGCTGTATTCTCCTGATGAGTGGTAATTGTAGCTCTGGGAAGCTGGGCTGGCTCCTTGTGGCGACGACCCATACTGAGCCTGAACACAGGGCATGGCTGTAAATGAGACAATTAAATAGATACCCAAGCTGTTCAACTGCATACTTCTTCCCCCCCCCCCTTTTTTTTGGACCATTGTTTCATCCATGCCGCCCCCTCCCATAAAAAATATCAAATGCCCACCCCACCCCCCCAAAAAACAGACCTCTCATGAGTGCTGTGGGACTACAAGTCTCAGCTGGTGGTCTGGAGAGCCAAAGCTTATCACAACCTGCAAGGCTGACATTCAAATTTCTCAAAACACTTTCTAAACGCTTAAAAAACGCTTCCAAACGCCCATGTATTCCCAACTCTACGGTTATCACTCTATAAGCTATGACAATGCTAAGCTCACAGATGCTATTTTTTTCGTCCATAGGTTGTCTTGGCACTCGGTATCCCAAAATTGCACCCCCCTTCCCCCCAAACCCTATTATTGCTTTCCAAAATCAACAGAAACAAACCTTCAGCCGGGCTGCGGACGTTTTCGATGAAAGTAAAGGAGGACAGTGTTGTAGTTCTTGTCGGGACAAATTTCCAGAATGTAAATGGGTCAGTGGAGGGGCACCCAGGGGGTCAGCATAGGTTCCTGCGGGCAGAAAGGAGACGTTAATGGGCGTCAATGACAAATGACAGGCGGTGTGTGGCTGTACATTCCAGAATGGAGAACATGGAATTCTGAATCCTATGTGTAGCGATGATTGTGGCTGAGTCAGGGAGGAAGCCCTTTCCCTGGATAGTGGAAATGACTGTAAACACAGCAGACGGTTGAGTCATTAGAGGCTCCGAGTGGGTGTTCACTCCATAAGTGTGCCCGAATAATCAATCAATGACAGGTACCTCCATTGTGATAGCACCCTACTACAGCATCCACAGCCAGAGGCCTGGGAACAAGCCAGGCTCACAAACCACTTCACATCACTTTTATCTCATTCCATAAATGAAACCAACATTGCCTACCAAAAGTACAACACGAGCCCTGTCCACATGTCACCAACATAGACAGCAGCGCACTTTATGTATCATCTGTCTGGGTGACACCTCTGCCAGCATCCAGAGGAGCAGCCTCTGAGGATTACATGACACCGGGGGAGGGGGGGCTTCCTGCAATATTGCTTATTAGTGAGTTACATGGTGTCCAAGCAAGGCAAGATCACTTCCAGATCCATGGATTCGCATCATCTCCTACAGCTACAGCGATCAGGAGACATCAGCCCCTGGGCCAACCAGCCGGGGCAAGGACACTGCGGGGCCAGAGAGTCAGCATGTATAGGCAGCTATAGACAAGTCACATGGAGAGCCCTGGGGGGGGGGCAGGGTAGGTAACCCCAAACCACATGGACAGGGGGCAGGGTAGGTCACCCCACACCCACATGGACAGGGGGGCAGGGTAGGTCACCCCAAACCACATGGATAGGGGGGCAGGGTAGGTCACCCCAAACCACATGGACAGGGGGGCAGGGTAGGTCACCCCACACCACATGGACAGGGGGGCAGGGTAGGTCACCCCAAACCACATGGATAGGGGGGCAGGGTAGGTCACCCCAAACCACATGGACAGGGGGGCAGGGTAGGTCACCCCAAACCACATGGATAGGGGGGCAGGGTAGGTCACCCCAAACCACATGGATAGGGGGGCAGGGTAGGTCACCCCAAACCACATGGATAGGGGGGCAGTCATAGACAGCACGGTGTATGATCATGTCTGTAGATAGAAGGGAAGACAGAAAGGGAGCGAAGGATAGATAGATAGATAGATAGATAGATAGATAGATAGATAGATAGATAGATAGATAATATAAGAGAAATACTGCCAGAGATCGAGTAATAAAGAAAATGAAAAAGATCGGTGATAAATGGAAAGAAAGATAGATAAATAGGCAGACAGAGAAAACTACTGAGAGAAAGGGATACATATTGTATATCTATGTATATATATACAGTCTATCCCTATCACACATCCGTAGAAGTATCTCCCAGCAGATGACACATGTGCTTTCACTCTCTATAATTCATCATATCATCAACAACTTTCCTCCATACACCCAGCAGCTCCAGGCTCCCCAGGTAAGTGATAGGTAGGTGATCAGAGCGCAGCCATGGCTTGTCCCATCTGCTCAGTGCAGTGACACTTCTAGGCAGTCAGTGTACTATGGGGTGTATTGGAGAGTCTATGAATTATGGGGTGTACTGGGCAGTCTATGTAGTTTGGAGTATATTGGAAGTACTATATTGGAATGTTTATGGGATTTTTTTGTACTATGGGGTGTATTGGGGAGTCTATGAACTATATTGGGAATTATATGTACTATATTGGGAAGTCTATGTACTATGGGGTGTTTTGGGGTGTCTATGAACTAAAGGGTGTATTGGGGTGTGTGTGTACTATGGGGTGTCTATGTACTATATGGTGTATTGGGGGGGGGGTGTACTATGGGGTGTATTTGTACTATGGGGTGTATTGGGTTGTGTGTGTGTACTATGTGGTGTATTGGGGTGTGTGTGTGTACCATGGGGTGTATTAGGGTGTTTATGTACTATGGGGTGTGTGTGTACTATGTGGTGTATTGGGGTGTCTATGTACTATGGGGTGTATTGGGGTGTGTGTGTACTATGTGGTGTATTGGGGTGTCTATGTACTATGGGGTGTATTGGGTGTGTGTGTACTATGTGGTGTATTTGGGTGTCTGTACTCTGGGGTGTCTGTGTACTATGGGGTGTATTGGGGTGTGTGTGTACTATGGGGTGTCTGTGTACTATGGGGTGTATATATGTACTATGGGGTGTATTGGGGTGTGTACTTTGTGTATTGGGGTGTTTGTGCTATGGGGTGTATTGGGGTGTCTATGTACTATGGGGTGTATTGGGGTGTCTATGTACTATGGGGTGTATTGGGGTGTCTATGTACTATGGGGTGTATTGGGGGGGGTGTACTATGGGGTGTCTGTGTACTATGGGTGTATTGGGGTGTCTATGTACTATGTGGTGTATTGGGGTGTTTGTACTATGGGGTGTATTGTGGAGCCGGGTGTACTTTTTGCAGTGAATGGGAGCAGTGTAGATCCAGTATATGATGGTGTTCCCGGTGCGTGCACTTACCGGCGGTGCAGAGCGGAGAGGCTCCTCTAGGCAGTCAGGGGTGATCGGTACATCCCGCTGCGGAGACAAGTCCCTGGTACTAGTTGCAGAGCTCTGAGCTCCTCTCCAATGTGCCTTTGTTTATGTGGGCTGACTATTCCACTGCTATCACACTACATGCGGCTAGCGTCAGCCGACGTCAGCGCCCCGCCGTCCAATCACAGAGCGCCCCGGCCCGCTCACTCCGTGCAGTTGGCCCGTTCTGGCTTTTGGTAAATTTCCGATGTGACGTCACAGCAATGAGCTGGGTTTTAAGGTGGGAAGCGAGTCGGGTTCTCACTCCGAGTGGAGCCTTCCTATAGTGTGAGTGTATGGGGGGGGGGCACCGGGGGAGAGTGTGAGAGCCGGGGGGGGGGGGGGGGGGGGGGGGGGGGGCAGGAGCCGGCCGGGCTGGTGTGCGATCCTCTGTATTAGTACATTGTATCCGATCACTTCTCTGTATGGTTCACAGGAGATCTCTGCCTGATCCTGGAATTGTTACATTGTATCCGATCACTTCTCTGTATGGCTCAGGAGATCTCTGCCTGATCCTAGAATTGTATCCGATCACACGTCTGCCCTGTGTCTGGGTCATGTGTGACCTCTGATCTGATTGTCTTACTATTGATACATTGTAACCAGTCACAAAGGATGACATGTCACCTGAACGTCCACTTCTATATGTGTATGGGGGAGAGCCTGAGATACTGGATGGGCTGATCTGCCTCTACTATAGTGCACACCGCCATAGGGACTGGAGTCCAGCCAGTGACAGCTCAGTGTCCCCCCAAGAGGGATCATTGTTACATTGTATCCACCCCCCAGATGTGTGAGCGATCACACCTCTGTCCTATCTATGGATGATATGTATTCTACCTATACAGTATATGTGTATGGGTGAGTCGCTAAATTGGGCCGAGTGGCCACCCCCAGCGTGGAATTCCACAAGCAATAATATACAGCCTGTGACAGCTCATTGTCCTCCCTAAGAGGTTCTGCAGCAGCTAGGGGTCATGTCAGGAGAGACCCGGGTAAGCCTGAAACACACGTCATCTGACAGCTTTTAATGTTGTATAATATCTGTCAACATTAACTCATAATAATAATATTAATAATAATTATTATTATATAGTTTGGACTAATTGATCAGAGATGTAATAAGGTCCCACAGCATCAGTAGATTACATATTCCTATTGTAAATTACAGCAACACATTCAGAAATATATACCCCCCCCCCCATCTCCAAGAGGTTCTGCAGCAGCTACTGCTGTCAGTTTCGAATTGCACCTCCTGCGCCTTCTTGCCCAGATGCCTGTCCGTGAAGTGGCCCCAGTAGTCACAGTAGTCATTGCCCCATGCCTGGGAGACACCCAAGAAATCGCATCTTCTCCTTCCCCAAGAGGTTCTGCAGCAGCTAGGGGGTTAGGTGAACAGGCATCACAGACCTGAATGAGATGTATTGTGTGGAATATGTAAACCGATAATACACACACACAATATATATATATATATATATATATATATATATATATATATATATATATATATATCATACACTGTATATATGTACTATACTTGCACACACACACACACAGACATATATATATAGGTCATCTATGTGTATGTCTGTATCTATAAACCTGTCAGATAGATGGATAGATAGATAGATAGATAGATATAGATAGATAGATAGATATTTATTTGTGTTTGGATCGTGTGTATATGTGATACATAATTAGTTTGGACTAATTGGTCTCAATTGCCATGTGAGCCCCATAATATAAACATATTACTTCTTCCTCCCATGGGTCACAGCTACAAATCCAGAACCAGCTCATCCCCCTCAAGAGGTTCTGCAGCAGCTAGTGAGGTCAGTTTCTAATGTCACCTCCTGCCCA